ATCTGGAAAGAAAAATAGGGTGTCCCGAGCTCGTTTTCGAGATAATCAGCATTTAATGGAAGTCTACGCACGAGCTTTCGGAGTAAAAATTGCGCCACCGGAAGTGATAAGACAAAAATTAAGATTCATAAGATAATAGTTATTTGCAGACTCTATGATTGCACGAATGAAGGCTAGTCAATCATTCTACAATAATACATGGATATTTTCGACAAAAATACAAAAAAATACATTGATTTGTCATATTTTTTAGTTTCAGTGCCCTTAAAAAATCTCATAAAGTCGAACAAAAATCCCTACAAAAATCTATTTTTTCATGTGTTACTGATTTAAACTTTTTCTAAAATGTTGATAAAACTGAGATTTTTAGGAGTTTTTTCAAATGAGCTATTAAAAAATAGAGTCCCGTGCAAAATTTGAGGGTTTTGCCCTGTATGGTTCTTCAATAAAATCTTGTAGATTTTTCAGCGGTTTTTGAGCGCGCGCTCATCGTGGGCTCAATTCGAACGTTCAAAAGTAGGCAGCCACCTTAATAGCCAATAGTCCCTTTCACAGTTCCCTGCACTGTCTTGAAAGGTAGCTGTGCCTTAGCATCGAAGCAAGATGAATGGTGAGTTTGCAATGATAGAGACATGTGAATAATTGTCCACTGTGTTAAAAAAGGTCTCTATCATTGCAAGGTCACTGTTTGTCTTGCTTCAATGTGAAGCCACAGTTACCTTTCAAGATGGCACAGGGAACTGTGAAGGGGTCTATTACAGCCTATCTTATAATATACATGTAATAATGCAACTACACTTGGTGCCAGGACAGGGAATCTTATGCTGATTTGTGGACCATTTTAATTCTGATTAGTTGCAGTTGGGTTACATGCAGGCTAGCACAAAATTAATGGATTGATAATTTCCCTTATTCCATTATGATGTAAATTTTGTCACCAATTTACCTTAGTGAGTTTGCAGCAACTAACAATGAATTTTGTAGTGATGGTTCTCCTTGACACATCTTGGGTAAACAAGCTTTTTGCAAAGCTTTGATGTGTAATTTTGGGTTACCTTAAAAATATTTAAGAAAATTAAAAAATTAAAAAATAATTTTATGTGATATCATACTACTATAATATCCAACAATGGGTTGACTTGGACAATTGAAGATCAATAAAGAATCTGTGACCATTCTAGATTCAATGTGACCCAGGTTGCAAACGAGTAGAGTAGGTTCTCTCCTGTGCCTCAAGGGTTTTCTCCAGGTTCTCTGGCTTTTCTCCCTCAACTTCTAAATTCCAATTCAATCTATTGGATTTCACGTAGTTGGAGCCTAGCTCTGTTGTGATTGCCCTACACTGTGATACAACAGCCAAAGCTTATTAGATTTCTTTTAGATTTGCTTGATCATGTTTTATCAGTCACTTTACCACTCAATTCTGTCAGCTTTTCAGCTCTTTTATTTCTAGTTAATATTATTCCAATCTGTCAATAAAAYGGACACATAGAATATCAATAAATAAGAAATGGCATTTCAAACRTCACAAGAATAAAACAAAAATGAGTGATGATGATGATGATGATGTTGACAATGATGATGATGATGGTGATTTGATGAGGATGGCCTTATATATCACTGATGGGTGTGATTTTCATGATGGATAAAATATAATGCAATCATATTAAAAAATAAAATAAAATAAGATATAGATAAAATTCAGTACTAAATGAACAAAATTAACAATATTGAAAAAATATCTTACTATGTGACATAAAAATTATAAATTATTCAGACTAAGCAGTAAATTTTTATTCATTAAAGTTAAACAATTGGTTGCTTGTTATGGTGGTAATCCTTTAAATTGTGTAGTTACAGACAAAAACAAATGTTGCTTTTCCAGCCTGGACAATGGAACAGAAGATCAACAATGCCATAATAACAATATAGCAATAATTGATAATTTGTAGACAATAAAATATAGTAAAAATAATGAGAGATTAGTATAAATAATAGTCATATTGATTATGTCATAGATCTATATAATCTAGCAATGTTAGATCAACAACAACAAAAGAATATTATAAAATTTCAAAACACAACCATATGTCTGTGCTTGCCTGTGATATTGGATTTTGATCAAAGTATTCTGTTATAAAATTCTCTAGTAGCTGTGTAGATGAAAAGTCATAATTAATAATAATCTAACATGCTAAGTGAAATAAGATTACGATGTATAATGTTTTAGTAGACTTCATCAAGTCCACTATGACCCGGCTTCTGTGTGGCTATTAGACTACTATTGTGAAACAGACAAACAGTCGACTATTGGTAATAGTTTGAAGTGGTTGGCAAATGGCAGTGAAACAGTTGATACATGGCATGAAATGATTGACAAATGGCCGACAAACATAATGGGAGTTCCTTATATAGTGCATTTCAATGCGCTTTACATTTATGACCAGTGGATAAGGTGATATTAGCAGCCGTACAGCTTACAATCATGAGTGTGAATTGTTAGTAGATTAGTATTATGCCTCCAAATTGGGATAGGCTGTTGAACTGGGAGACAATCCCCTACTCTTAATATACAAATAATTCAACAGGTTCTTTTATGTCCCCCATTTTACTTTAGGTTAGGAAGGGTTGGGAGACAGGGCCTAGAGTTTTAAATCCTTGTCCAAGAAAACTTGAAAGTCTAACCATTTGCAGAAGTAATTACAAAGGCAGCACCATCTCCTCAGTTATCTTAAGAGTGTTGAGTGCTGAGTGTTGGTCTGGCTGAGGCTTGAACCATGACCTCCTGCACAACAGACCGACGATTTTACCAACTGAGTTAACCGGGTGGTTGATTGACAAATGGCCAACATGACATCTGGGAGTGCCGATGTTGCATTGTATCACAGTCAATTTAAAGGTTTTAGGGGATAAGTGTTCCCCTTTGGATTGACTTTTTTAACTTTTCAAACATCTGCATGTAAATAAATAATAGTTTCTAGTAAAGAAAGTCTCAACTTACCTTGACAGTACAATTTAGTCTTGTTGGTTTCAAGTCAGCCTCTTCCATTGCTTTAGACATATCAATAATTAAATACATATGTCGCATCTGAAAGAGATAATTATAATAGCATTAGTTAAATGACAATAAATAAGTTTCAAATCAAATATGGGGGTTATTTTTTAAGACTGTACTCTCAGCATATGTGTACTGCTGGTTTTTCAATCATTTCAAAGAAAAGAAAACACTATGGAATCCACTGTATTGTGGAAAGGCTGCAAAAAGAAGCATACCATGGTCCCACCACAAGTATCAACATATTCCACTGCATTCCTAAAGGCATGTGCAACTTGATTTTTTCTTGACGCTTAAAAATACTTGAATTCGCCCTATAAACAAATTTTATTTTTGTACTTTATATTTATTTCAAATTTTCTTTGTTTTCCTGTGTGATTTTGCTTAAAAAGGTTCCTAGTTTGCTTTCGTATGTTCTTTTATCAAACCGTGGCTTAGGAATGTAGACAACAATTTGTATGTTTTGAGACAGTAAAGAAACAACATAAAAGCAACTTTCTTACCATGCCAAGCCTGACATTTCCTGGTCTTGAAAAAGCCCTATAACATTGACAAAAAGCAGGAAAAAAGAAATGAAAATGAGACTGTTTAGTAGTTCAATTGTTTTCAAACACTGGAGAAAAGTGGCAATTTATGAGCATGAGCATGACCTTCTAGCAAAAAACCTAATGGGAAACTGAGTATTTACAGTGTACACTTTTTGGGCTTGCCTAATCATTTTCATCTGATAATTTTTTGTTGTACACTTTCTATGGAAATGCATGCAAGTATTTCCACAGATGAAATTATGAGATTTTTTTATGATAGTTTCTTTGATATCCCAGTTTCATTTTTGCAGTACTTACTTAGAGTGCTTTGTGAGGTTTGATGTACATTGGTTATTGCACTCATTATCTTAGTTAACCAATCAGCCCCAGACCACAGGGACCCCAAAATTTAGATAAATGTGAAAGGTGAAAATAAAATAGGGAAACTAATCAGTTTTGATAAATGTTTTTATTCAAGGTCATGCAAAATAGTGAAAAAATGTAAAAATTGAAGTGAAAAAATTGATCAAAATGCTGTACAATATTTTTTCCGCATGTGGCAAAATAATTTCTATATGATTTTCCTATGATGTTATATGCCATCTATATCTAGAAGTATTGCTACATCATTCTGCCATCATTCAAATGCAGGACACAATAGACCCCTTTCGAATTCCAAATTACCGCCGTGTTTCTTGATTACAGACTCATTTTGCACAGGGTTAGCCTCAAGTTTGTGCAGAATATTCATGTGTTCCAGTCAAGGTCCGTTGAGTTTCAAAATGTTTGTATTGTTGAAGTTGTGCATTCTTTACTTTTCTGTTGGTATTTGTGAATATTTAAACACTGAAACAGCCGCCAAATTGGTTGATATAACAATAGAACCTTAATGAGCAATGCTTTGTAGTCAGCCAACATGGAAGCTACGACATAACATGCACCCCAAGGACTCTGATCGACAGAGCTAAACTGTTCACATGAAATTCCATTTTATCTTATTGGAAGTTCAAGAGCTAAAGGATGGTGAAATCATGGTTTGAAGTGTGTCATATGTAAAATATGGTGGTTTGAAGTTATAACYCTTGTAGCAGTTTTCCTATATATAGAAGAGCCTATAGAAGATTTTAGGGAAATCATAAAGGAAAAAAATGCACATTAAAAATATCTTGTGCATTTGTTGGTCGATTTTTCATTCATTTACAAATAATGAAAGTCGTTATTTTTCTGACTTTTTTACCTTTCTCTTTTATCTAAATTGGGCTCCCTGTGCCCCAGACATTTGAATTTGGCTTGTCAATCGTAAAATATAGGATTTGTATTATTTTGCAAATCATTTAAAAGAAAGATTACTTATAACGCTAATTATAGCGCTTAAAAAAAAAAACATTTTGGTAAATGAAGTTTATGCATGTAATGAAGGACCTCTGTCATGCTTAGTAGTGCTAGTAGTGCTAGCCTGGCAGACAAATGAAAGGATAACATAWTTCTGCAGTAGTCAATATTATCAAAATTTAATATTTTACAAGTTTCGATCTTACCTCTTTCTTTTGTTACGATGGATGAGCTCGTCCACCAAACTTTGCAAAGATCCTTCATTATCTTCTCGGATTTCTTCCCTATAGTCAAATACAAAGGAGCTTAATAACTAGGCAACCAAATTCAGAAGATGTCTGTGTCAAAGATCCTAAAAAGATTCTTTTCTTTCTTGTACACTAACCAAGTTTTTTCATATTCATTTAACCATCGATAACCTTCTTCTTCGTCCGCCATGCTTAAGGTCCCACAGTACACTTTGTTAGCGGACTTAAAACCACAGGAAATCCAGTCTCGTGGAAATATGTCTCTCGAACTCTTATTGATTACACAGGTAATCAATTGCCTGGGTAGAAATTTTTTTTGAAAAGTCGTGAAACTCGCACCAGTAATTAACATTGGCTACTTCAAGACATGCAGTAAGTTACAACTGAAGTTTATTTTATATTTATGCTGAAAATCGACAAAACTAGTGCCAATTTTGGGCTACCTGTGGTAATTAGTTCAATTAACCCTCAATTATTTATTTTAAATAAAGCAAAATAAAGCATATTAAAGAGCAGTTGTTGTTACTGAGAACAAAGTACTAGCACATATTCAACATGCAAGTAGTCAAAACAGACTACATAGGATAAAGACGGAAAGGTTTTTCATTTGATATGACCATAAAGTTTTTTAGCTTTGGGGTTTGGTGATTCCAGGTTTTAGTATTCCATGCATCTGGATACTGTATTCCATTCCGGATTCAAGTTTCTAGACTAACTAGAGGGGGGAAATGGGTGRAAGAAATAGAAGGGGGAAATGGCATAAAAAGACAGGGCAATATTAGGGACTGGTCATTATTATTTTGTAGGGAGGGGGGGAGCTGGTGTAACAATGACTATGTCATGTTTGTTTTTTCCTGACTCCCCTCCCTTTTTGTATAAGGCACAATGTATTCTGAYCCCCATAAATAATACTGAAACAGATGATAGTAAGATAGCATATTGTTGAGAACTGTTACCACAGATCTGAGTTGTGTTTGAAGCATTCTCAATTTTTCCCCATAAGTAACAGAATATGACTTTTTTGATTTGAGAAACACTCGAAAGTTTTAATAAAAGTTTATAGGTTAAGCGCAATGATTGTTGCACGAACATTGCACTTAACCTAAACTTTTTTATTGAAACTTCATTGTTTACCAAAGTAACTGCCTCAATCACTTGCCTCATAGAGCGATTTTCATAAACCCATGAAACAAATACCATTTTATTAGTTAGTGTGTAATAGTGAAGTGACAAAGAAAGAACAGAATGGAATTAGGGTCAACTAATTTGTGTTAGGCTGGTGTGTATTTCAGGGGTTTATGAAAACCACCCTAGTGGCTATGACCCTGCTGATATTTTGGTGAGTCATTGCATAAATTTATAACCTCCCTTYTATCACTGCATAAAAATTGGTGACCCACCCCCTATTTGTACCAGCCCCCTCCCTATAAATAATAACTGGTCCCTTATATGACATTTTCCCCCTGCTGTTTCTCCCTCCTTCCTTTTCCTCTTCTGTTTTTTTTTTTTTTTACATCGTTTCCCCTCCTCTTTTCTTAGTTGTTTTTCTCTTCTCCCTGGTTCCTTTAGCTCTCCACTCACTCTTGTTCTGAAAGTCAAAACCAAGGAACGAATAAATTTATTAAATTTATTAATTCAAACTTACTTCACACTAAAACTCTATTTTCTATTTTACTTTAAAATATGAATTTCCCCCTAATGTTTTTCTATTGTAACTTGTGCATTCTTATTATTTTACCAAGTATTTGTAGGATAGAAAGCCTCCTACAGAGCAAATTATGAACATCCCTGTAAGAAATACAGGTACAGAGGGCAGACACTGTTGACATGGAGTCAGTTTACATGGATGAGCAATGACATCTGTAGATGGAGGTTCATCTTGATGGATCTGGTCTGCAGAAATCTTTCCCATTTGATGAAGTACCTCTCTTGCTGCCCTTTCACCTGCCTGAACTGCACCATCCATATATCCTATTAAAAAAGTTTTTCTCAATTTAGAAATGAAACCCAATCGAAAAAGAGATGTGTGCATGTGGTTATATAAAATTATAACAGTAGGCTGGGGTGTGGCTACATGAATTTAAAGCAAAAAGTGAGCATGTGATAGAAATTAATTGGCTATTCTGAGGTTGATGAGGGAAAAAAACTGGGTTGATTAAGCATTACAGTACACCATGGAGCTGTTTGAGGAGAAGCGTTTCCAAGATCATGGCTATTTTGTCTACTAAAGCAGTCCCACAATGCACTACATTGCCAACTCGACCCAGTTTTTCCCTTAACATTGAATGGCTTATGCTCCCTAGGTTACCAAAGAGCTCTACCTTATCATAAACTACAGAAGAAAAAAGAACATCAATAAGTAAACTAAAATCATGTATCCTTTTGGATGTTATTCCTTAATTGTCAGATTGTCAGAATTAGTGCAAAGGTTTTTTTCTTCTAGAAGTTGGGTATATTTGTGACTTTGTGTTAATAATTATGAATAAACTACTCATACGGTAGCAACAATGAATGACTAAATAGCAAACAAAAAGGCACTAACCTGACCAAACTGTGGCTGTTTCAGTGCCAGCAAAAAACACTCTTCCTATAGGACATCTCAACATCTTGCCATATTTYGTAATAACACCACATGGCATCACACTTACATAGCAACCACCTGAATATTTCTCAGCTGGCCAGTTTTTGTCAACATAATGCTGAGGCTGAAGAGCATCTTTACAGTTGAACACCTTAGCATATTGCTCACTGACAGCTTTCATTCTTTYCTCTGTTGTTTTTGTACACCACTTACGAGCTTGATCCCCAATAATAAATCTAAAGGAGGCAAGTAAAAAAATATCATATGATAGAAAAGATTATGCTGCTTAAATTACTATAAGTTGCTATATCATTCATCATATATTGAATGATCAAGT